GGGATATTTATTATGTACCGAACACTAACAAAAGGGTCTTTCCATTTCAATTCATTTTAGAAATCAAATGTATTTAGAAGTCACTCGTCTGAACTTCCCAAACTCTAAAGATTTTCCCAATAACCAATACCTAGCATTCATGTGTAGCCCAAATTCGTGCAACTTGAAAATTTACATTTCTTTCTTAATAACTTAGCTAAAATGTGAGTGTTACATTACTGATTCTTTTGACCGTTTCTCACCCAGCTGTGAATGCTTCCTATTTGGGTAAGTCTGGAGCTGTAAGCTGCATGTTCAGGATTCTTTCTGTGTGTGGTCGTAAACACAACAGTACCCTTCGCCTCGCATTGGACATTCTGTGCCAGCTTGTCAAGTCAAGTAAGTTTATGATTTGCAGTTAACCCCTTAATGCAGGGATTCTTTTGATCGTGACTGCTGGGCTGTGGTATGCCCTGTAAGCAAAGCTCTGTCCATCAGCAGGCCAACATTGAAACCAGCAGGTGCATGATGAATAGAATGTATATGTGGTATGCACTAATCCTCACACAAAGCCGTGGCTGTCAATGGTTCCCCCCCTCTCCCGATGAAGGGGTTAATAAGAACTGTTGTCTCTGGTGCACACTCTGAATTCTGTAAACATTGGGCGATGTGGAGCAAATGTCAGCTCGTTTGTTCTATGTTTAGATCTTTTTATTTTGGGTGGTCCTGTAGGCCTCTCAGGAACATGAGATTTCAACAATACCTGTGAAGCTGTATATTAAATTACTCGGGGAGTCAGGTTGGTGTAGTGGTTCTTTCCTCGCCTTCCACCTCTGTGGTCCAAGTTTGAATCCTGGCTTGGTCCACATGTGGATTTGGTTTTCTATACCCAGCAAGATATGGGACGGAAGGGTACCCCCCCAACATGTGCAATCCCTATACACTCTCTAGACTATTGTTACCCAACACATCCCCCCCAGATGTCTGAAAAGAATTCCTGAGATTCTGATCAAACACTGACCAACACAAAGGTTGGGGGTGCTCTCCATCCCACATCTTGCTTCAAATGGGTATTCAGTCCCCACCTGATCTGTCCAGAATATTCCCCTGGGGTTTTCCACCCACCTCGAAAACTGTAACTGCTTCTTATTTCAATGTGCTTGAGTCTTCAAGTATATGAAGTCGGCGCATCACTCGGAAGAAGAAGGATAAAGTGTGGGTGTAAGCCATCCAGTCAGGAAAAGTATTGTCTAAAGCCTTGGTGCTTGTTGTGGTCACAAGAGTTGTAGGATAGTTTCATTTGCTGGAAACACAAAGCCTTCTGCCAGTGACGATGGTTTTGTATAAAGGAAAAAAAGCAACATTCAGGAAAACTTGCCGAGGTGTCCCTAGATGCCTGTTACGCAAAACTACTTCTGACATGCTGAGACATTTCAAAGACATTAGCCAAATTTATAAGCATATTGAAACCAACAGGGTGCAATCCTCTGATTTCAATATGATTTTGACACACACCCTAGGAAGTCAGGTTTAACGTGGATGGCAGATCACTGATATCATAATCTGCAGGATAGATCTTGAACCATTGAAGTATCTGCAGATATTTTTGAATACATAAAGCATGAAACTGCTAAGTCTGCAGGGGTCTGAAAACCTCAGTGTTCATTATGTTATATTTATCTCTCCAAAAACGAGAGGATTATCATTTGGCCCTGTTGAATTTAGCAAATGTCGCCCCTTTCAATTGTTGGTTGCTTCAGATTGCCAGGGTTGTTTATAGAATATTTCAAGAGTCATAGGGCTTTTGCTAAGCATGAGTTGTCATGTGCATCGACTCAATGGGTGGATCAGGCAGAGCATGTTATTCACTCCGAGCGGTAACAAGAGAGGGCGTTTTTACTTAGCAACAACCGTCCTTGGGTGAGACTCACTTCATGTGCCCACAGGTTTATGTACATTTGGCGAGGAACTTACTGACAGAGCGTGAACAATTACTGTTCTGAATCACTGAATTTGCGGTCTTTGTACGTGCATTGGGTGCGTGAAGGAACGTGGTTGAAAACTTCCCACCAGCCTGTCCCTTTGCTGGAAAGGGCACACTTCAACTTGGGGTCGGTAACTCACATGGAGCTGTGATGTCCCTTCAAACCAGCTCACTACTGATGTGATCTATTTGCCTTCGGCACAGAAATTGACAACCCTGTAGGATCTCAGTGTGGGCAGTGGGCACTTGGCAGCCGTGTTGAATTTTGACCTCACATCTCTCTTTGTCATTGGCAAGGGATGACTTGTTTACAGAACCCCCTCCCAAATTACTTGTATCTATCATACCAGACATGACTTACTTAGTGGTGGTTTGTGTATGTTTGCTCTCCAGAGAGTAATGCGGCCAGAGCAGTAGGCCAGGGTGGTATCACCATGCTTCTCACCATGATGTGCGACTGGCAACGCAACGATGCCAGGAATCGACACGTCAGGATACGCAAAGCCATCCTGAATGCCATCAAAAACATCACTGTACTCAGTAAGCATGAAGTGACTCGTTAGTTTCCACAAGTTTTGCTTTATATCTGTTCCATTGTAAACTCTAACCTCTATCAGACATTTGGACCCATTGTACTCAAAGCAATCACAGATCATAAATGAGTCATGCATCAATCAGCTGAATAGCTCAAGACTCAACTTGGGTCTAAATGACTTGTTACAGGCTTAAGAGTAGTTAGGATGTGATGGGCTTAAGATGGACTCGTGAGGATGTGTAATAGACGTGTCAAGTAAGTATGATGTGAACTTGAGAGTTTTTGTAACCAACCCACATTGAACTCTTCACAGTAACCCAAAGTGCAGTTTTTCACTCTGTAAACTCAAGACTCCAAGCCCGATGTAAAGTAGCAGTATGTGGACTCTGTAGTACTGTATCCAGTGAAATCACACAAAATTAAGTGTTTGGTTGTGTGACCCAGTTCTGGGATTAGACTCGTTACAAGTGTCACCAACTTGTGCCAGCTACTTATCTCTTTATAGATATACAGATAATGTACTCTGAAGGTTTTGACTGCAAATGCATTCCAGTTTGAACATCATTTATTGCATTGTCATTTTCTACACAGTAAATACACGTCCTGTTTAAATTATTGAGAATTTTGCCTTTATATGCCATTCTGCTATTTAAACATGCTGTGTGGCTGCTTTCCAAATATGGCGTCTGGGTTTTGTTTGAATAAACACCACACTAGAAAGAATAACTGTCACAAAACCACTGCAATATTTGCTGTTATTACCACTTTGTGTACAGGGTCAGGAAGAAAAGCATTCATCGATGCGAGTGGCATCAAGGTCCTCTATGACATTGCCCAGGAAAACACCGCCAGTCACTGTAAGTTCACAATGGAAGATTGGTCACTCCGCATAAGCCCGCTGAGAGCATTCTCAAGAGTTTAATGTTCCTGAACCGTTCATAATGCTTCTGATCGGACCTTTTAACAGGATCATGTCATGTTCCAAATCAAATTGCGTTTTTCACCGAGGAAGATATGTGAAATGGATTAGATTTGTGCCTTGGAGATGCATACAGCATACCGCTTGAAATTTGAACAAAGAAAATAAATAAAAAAAGATGCACTGAAAGATGTGTTTAAACCTGTTGAAAATTCAGCACAAATTGGAAATTGGAACTTGGAAGCAAAAAATACACTAGTCATTGACCTGACGGCATTTACTTGGCAGACTTGTTTGTATTGTTTCTGCCTTGTTCTTTACAGGCAAGGAGTTGGAATCCCTTGTCAATCTTACCAGTGTCATCCTGAGGAAGTGCTCTCCACTTAACCGTCTCCCTGTCACCACCATCAAGTCCTGCATTACCTTCAACTTACCACCCAGCACAGCAGGACTGCTCCCCTCTCCACCAGAAAGAGAAGGTAGAATATTTTATCAGTGAACGCTTCTTGGTCACTAACCCTTATAACCTTAAACACACCAACACCCAGCTTTTTGGTCACTAACCCTTATAACCTTAAACACACCAATGCCCAGCACCAGGCCATGAATGATTTCTAACCCGACAGCCAGTATTGCATTCAAGTCTGATGGCCTGATATATATTTTGAACTGGAAAAAGAATTGACTGCGACACTTAACAGATTCATTAAAAAAGAAAACAAAGAAAAACATCTCTCACTGAGGTAGCTGAAATGTGTTTTATGGTCTTCATTATTATCACCTAGTGCATGGATTTTGCATTCAGCAAGAGCTAGATTTTGTTCCAGGCACCGTAGATACACCTTAATTTGTGATTGGTTCCATTGCCCTCTGGAAGCTTTCAAGGCTCACCAAAATGTGAAAAAACATGATTACTTTGTGGACTTTGGCTATTTATAATGAACAAATAGTGGCTGACATAAGGCCTTTTCACTCTACAACCTCTGCTGGGTTGAACTCAAGCCTGGGTGAAATCATGACCACCCTGGGTTGAAAATTGGATTTTTCAACCATGCGTTCAATCCGGCATTGTTTCACACTTGTTTGGTGAAGACTGTGCATATCGGGGCAATGCGCAGATGAGCACGAATGATTTTGTAGCGGTCTGGTCCTTCAGCAGTTGTCAGGAGTGTGGAGATCCGTCCGCTAATTAAGAAGGATAGGAGGCGCAAAACTAGACAAAAACTGGACTCAAGGCAACTGTGGCTTGATTTCCTTCACTTTTTTCCCAGATGTCAATCAGTAATGAAATTGTGTAACCAAAAGGGGAAAAAACTTAAGAAAGACAGAGGACATGCTATTGAGTGATGGCTTACACGTACATCGTAATAAATGTTACATTCGGTATGTCCATGATAAATTCACTCTAAGAAACGTCTCTATATAATCATAAGTTCTCTTTCCCTGACGTCTGAAAGTTTGCCCAAATAGGTATGAACACTAAAGCTAACGGAAAAGAGCCCAAGTTATCCCAAAAGGGGCCACCTTGCTGTGACTGCCAGCCCTCCAATTTGGAGGTCTCAAGCTTGGGAAATGTCACTCAGAAAAGCCCAGAAACTTCAGTCAATCTTGAGGTTGATGCAGGGCTGGCACGGGGTTGAAAATTCCAAGTGTGAATCATCACCAGTTTTTGACCCTGCATCATCCTGAGATTTGTCTGGTGTGAAACGGGCCCATTGGATATCTAGTGTACCCTAATCCCTTTGAGTAACACAGCAATAGGGTTTCCGGGGGTGGTGGGGGGGGGAGAAGAGGGGAGCAAGAGTACCCAGGGGGGCAGCCCTCCCCCCAGCGAGGCCACTGGAAGTGGAAGACTGAGGTACATAAGATCTTTATTGCCATTCATCTCTTGTCCATGTGGTGCTTAATACAAGAAAGAAGTGTTTTTTCCATGGGACGATACATGGTATGTGCGGGGCATTTCTACTTCCAATCATATACCCGGGCTGAGTTTGCTTCTTCCTCATCTCTTGTAAACAGTGGCTGGGTGCACCGCACACTGCAACAGATTGGCATTGAAATCAAGACTTGTAGTGATGGGCTAATTTAGCATCCAAAAATCATAAGCCATTATTGCTATTGAACCCTGCTCATGCACAGGAGCTACATGTATATTAAGTAAGCCTTTCATCTATAGTGTGCTGTGACTTGCCCAAAAGACACACGCTCATCAAGTTTAGAACCTACATTGGTGTATAGACGAATCCAGTGTTTTACTGGACAGCCTTGATGGACCCTTTTAATGGTAACAAACATTATGTTGGGTTTTATACAGAGTGATTGTCATGGAAGAGTGTACAGTTATTATCATAGTGCTCACGGCCATTGGTGGGGGCCACTGATAATGACCAGTGAATAATGGTGTCTCTTCAGATTGACTTGTAGGCCATAGTGGGACATAGGAACCTTTCCTTTGTTTAATCTTTGCCTAACAATGGAGAATCGAGGCCATCCATCAGGATTCTAAGCTGAATTTTTTTGCTCACTGTCACCCAGGTGATGATGTCATTGATGAGAGTGATGACCAAGATGATGACATCAGTAGCAGTGACGAGCAGAAAGACAATGAGCAGGTGTGTTTATAGAATGAATTCATTTGGGGCAGTTTACTCATTCGTACAGGTTGAGAGCTCGTTGTGTGATTCAGATGGCTGAGCAGGGGTGTAAATCCTGCAGGGGGATGGGGATATATCCCCCCACTTTTGTACCGTGGGGGGGATGGGCTGTTGCATCATCCCTTCCACTTTTTTGTTGTGAGAAAAAATTGGGGATGGTGAGGTATGTTTAAAACTTCCAATAACCAAACTTTTGTACTGAAAAAGGGAGAAAAGTACAAAAGTTTTCAATGCCACATTTTGATGTAGGGTGAAAGGGTGTACATGTAAGTATACATAAAATGCACACAGCGCCCTCTTATGTTGTGGAGTCCTGCAGTTCTCTCCCCACCACTTGTTTTTAAAGTTTTCACATTCAATAAGTTACTTTGATTGAAATCACCCCCCTAGTCCCCGGTACAGATTTACGTCACTTGTGGCTGATAAAAATGTACAACTGGTTTTGAAACACTTTGCCGGTTTCATGTGAAATTTTGACTGCTATTTTGTGGACTTTAAAGGTAAGTTACACTATTGAAAAAAATCACGAAAATGGGACTGCCAAATATCCTTGAAGATCTTACTTGAAAGAAACTACTTAACAGCCTCAGTCAATCTATAAAATACAAGTATTTCCAGCCAGAATGCTATCATTTTCGAGAAAACAGAAGTTTTGTTTTCTTTTTGTAAGAATGGTTGGCCGACCACAATGTAAGAATTTATTTTATTTAATTACTAAATTCTTTAACGGATGCGGAGTTCTGTGTGTGGTGTGTGTACAGAAGGAGTCATTATAAACAGGTAATGCTAAATACGGCAAAAACTTGATGGTGGAAATTCACAAAATGCATTGAAACCTGAAACAAGAGGAAAATATGTGCAAGGTATAAAATAAAGTGAAAGAAAAAAATGGATCAGTTTGAAGTTTAATTTCAACTCTGGAAAGGGAAAACGCAAAAATGTTGCGATCTCACTATCACCTCCGAAGCATAATGGTATGCTCCAAACTGTAACATGGCGGCCGTTTTCACACTTAGCGCATAGCAAGGTGATTTTTGTCAACAAAAACCATGATTTCCAGACATTAAACCTTCCATGTTTCCAGATGTAATTTCCTCTGTGGCCATAATTATTAGTTAGTAAACTGAGAATGGATTTTAGACTGACATGTAAACTGACACAAACGTGTGGTCAATAAGCAGCATCGTGCACACACATGCAGAGCGTGAAATTAGATCAAAAAAGTGCTCGGTCCCGGACAAAATGTCATAACACAATCAATTTTGTCCGTGCCATTACCAGCTTCTGATCTGCCATATTATCTAAAAGGTAGACTTGTAACGTGCAGTGTCAGGGGTCGAAATTATCCTTTTTCTTCCTGGCAGCCAGCAGGACCAAAACTTTATTTCCACTGGTCCTGCTAAATGTTTGGTGGTCCTACCAGAACTGCACACGCAGCCGCATCTAGCAGTCTTTGTTAGGGCGATTTTTTTTTTAGTTTGCCTGATCGGACAGGCCATGTCATAAATTTGCTGGCTTGAATTGGATCAAGGCTTGCTCAAGATTTCTCGGAATCCACGATTATTATGGTTATTTAAATTAGGCTAACTGCATACATGCAGTCTTTTATTAGGCCAAAAAAAATAGTTGTGCTATGCATGCCTCTCAAAAATTGGCTCGGTAGGTCGGAACATTTTTTTTGGTTTTGGGGGCAATTTTGTGCTGATTGAATGGCATCAGTGGGGATGACAGCCCCCACAAGTATCTTGAAAAGTGATGAACACCTGTCTTAATCTACCGGTATGTAAAAATTTTTACATATGGCAATTCACAAGAAAATTATGAATTCACACAGTGCTACTCTGGCAATCACGACGGCAAACTGGCCAACAATGTCCGTGCATCCCGTGGTAAGCATGCGTGATGCATCCAGACCAGCAGGTGATAAACCTTGAGCCAGAGCCATGAGCAGAACAACCTCAAATTAAACTCATGAACACAGAAAATACATACATAAATAAGAGACCAAGTTCTGTGAATTAACTTGCAGAAACCCTCTTGCAACATCGATGTCTTTCCGGCCTGCGCCGTGTACGGCTGATGAAGAGTGTTTATGTGTGTACAGTACATTCAGTACATGTACAGTACAGACTGGTTCTGGTTGCTACATTTCCATCACGTAGTCTTTTGCATGGGTGCGGTGCGGCAGGAACCAGAGCAGCTTCCTTTAAGGCACTGAGCTTCGCGCATGTGTTTTCACCACTGTGACAGCGAAACGTGAATGTTGACGGCATGACCTACATGTACGTTTTACAATGTTCAAAGAATTTTGGGACGATTTCATATCTGTGCAAGTAAAGTATACGCACGTGTTCATACATGCGTGGCACTGGGTGACATGGGCCAGTGATGAGTGATCAGCTATGATGAATGCCTTGGGTGTTAATTCTAACACAAAACTTATAATAAATCAGATGCCATAATCCCACATATTGTGTTGATATTTTAAGAGCTGTTATTGATATGTTGGTCAGAAAATTTGTCCGAGCATCTTTGATTTTGTTCTGACAAACACATTAAGTGCTCGGAAAATGTCCGATGTCTGACTGTAACTTCATGCTCTGCACATGTATAGCATTTTTATTCGTGAAATGTCATGGACACGAGTCTTCTGTAGTTTACTGCTCGATGGAGTGTTTCTTCCAAGAATCCACCGTGCTACATTGTCCAAGAGGCATATTACTTCAAGGTAAATTCCTTGATTGCTCTTTGCCATGGATAGATGCTCTGTTTAAAGGGCAAGAGCACCTGCCATAGATAAATGCTCTGTTTAGAGGGCAAGAGCACCTGCCATGGATAGATGCTCTGTTTAGAGGGCAAGAGCACCTGTCATGCCTGTTCATCTGCAGACGGACCCTGCGAGAACATTGTTTGCTCACTCAGAACACCCTGTGGTGCATGGATTCTGTGCAGGATAAATTAGAAGATTTCAATCTGACCATTGAAAAGGCCACTGCATTTTTCTATTTCTTCTCAAAGCAGTTCACTCAAACACAAAATAAGTCAGTGTAATAAAACCTGCAGTAAATAATATCACCCATAAATCAGCCAATCTTGTAGAATCATGGCAAGAAACCAAAGGCGTAACCTACCTTTAAACCCTATTACATGACAGTCATTGGGCTAATTATCTTATGTAGGCATGTTGAATACAACCAACAAGTCAGTGTACTCACAGTCAGAATTTTACTTTACACTGGTACTGCTGCATCCTATGCCTCATCAGTACCCATCATGCCACTTTCTGCGTAAGAAACTTTCTCTGTTGCACTCGGCAGACACATGCCATGGATATTGCCAGAGGGGCGTTTCACAAAACATGCGGTTAAAAATTGAATTTTAAAAAATCGTGAAGAACCGTTAATTTGACTTTTCAAGAAAAAGAGTATTTGTGAATTGGGATAACAGGTTGAATGGAGCAATTTCACACAAGTTCATTTAAACTAGCTGGCCACTTTGTCCGTTTTACCAACCCCATAAAACTCTATCACATTTCAACATATTGTTTGAGTTGTCTTATCAGTGATGTCCGTAGTAATGTAACAGTATACATGTATTGTCACCTCTTAGTGTGTAAGGCATCTGTTACTTGTACCTAGCGCCCTCTTGTACTGAACAATATGCTTCTGTACATGGACGCAGTGGTACCAGAATAGTTGATTTTATATTCTTTAGTGTTCTAGTCAGTATATTTATCTTTGCTCAATTAGCAATCTGAGCAGATGTGAGGACATGATGGTACGGTAGAAGAAATGACAGTGAGTGACAAAACTGTGCCCTGTTCTTGTTCCCATTATCTTCAGAATTGGGGGAAAAGTTGCCTTTGTTTTATATTCTCACTTAAAGACTGGTCTATGCTTGGCAGGAAAGCAGACAGAAATGTGAAATTGTGACATCAAATATTCATGTTGAACGCATTTCAGTTCAAGTGAATTTCTAGGGAAATGTTTCATACCACTCAAATTGAAGTATGAACAGGCCTAAAACCTGATGAACTCCCACCAATGCCTAGATTTTTCCCCTCCAAGTTTTCATTTGGGAAATGAAATTTTTCCCCAGTACTTTTCAGTTGACAATTCCTTTTTGAAAATCGTGGAATTTGTTGTGTTGGTAACATTTAATTGAATAATTAATCTGCAACTTTCTGCATAAATTCCCATTTACAAAACCCTTCCTTGCATAATTGTAACCTTGGATATATATTGCATTAAATGCCGGATCATGTAGTGTAATAGTCCCTGCTTGTCTAGAATGTATAAAGCAGGCAAATTGTCATTTTTAAAAGGCATCTCCACCCCAAGGACAGCCATTGACTGGGAGTAATTGGTTGGAATAGTCCCAGAGACCCTGGGCATGTATTTATGAGGTTAACATAAAGACCAAACGAGGGGGATAAGAAGAAAGAAAAACAATTTCACCCCAAAGTATAGAAAGGCTTAAGAGTGTGAAATGTCCTCAAAATTTCCCAGGGATAAAGAGAAATGCCCAGTCTAAATGTTTCAGGTGTGGTATGGTTTAGCAAAGGACCTATTATTGGAGATTATCTGAACGATGCGTAATTTGAAAAGAGTTTTGTGGGGCAGCAGTTTCATCTGCAACCCTCCTTAGAAAACTTTCTTGTTTGTCTGTTTGTTTCCTGCTTTTGTCTGCTGATCGCCTTAGCTATACCTTAGACTGCTTATTGGGCTGATGACCCAAACTTGTTACATAATCAAGTGATTATAGAGGAGAAATATTGTCTGGGAAATGGTCCCGACAGACAATTTGGAAATGATCCAAACCTGCTTTAGCCTCTTGTGGGTTGAGAGTTGAGACCAAACTATTTTTAAAACTGTCTAGACAGAAGTGGGCCAGCCTCCTGTTGTAAATATTTGGCACTGACAGATATTGTGGAGAAAATGATTGCATCCATAAAAACAAACCTGGAATGGAGTCATTGTTGAACAACTAGCCTCTGTTCCAGCAAGAGTTTGTGTTCATCTCAATTTTGGAAGCAAATTTGTTTTCTCAATTTTTCTTTGGGGGGGTGGGGGAGATAGGAGGGGAGGGTCAATTCAGTGCACTTGCAGTGCAATATCGTGCACTGTAAGTTTATGCTAATATTTGACAAATTTCATTGTAACTTGCACAAAAGGGCATAATCATCTCAGATAACATTGCACTGTTTCTCATATCAATTCTGCTTGTGGTTCATGAGTGTCTTTTTTCTTTGGAATTAATTTTTTGAAAACATATTAGACTTGCTCAGGGTGAAATCAAAATTACAAGGAAAATAAGACCCATCATATACTTTCCAAAGGGTACGTGTACTTGAACGGTTCTGAAATCTGCAAACTTGTAAATGAGGGGCTTGGGGTTTGAATCTTGCCTGGGCATGCTTAAGGAAATCAATACCAAATCATTTATTAAGTCAAGGATGATGAATACCCAGGGCATTATTTTGCCCAAGTGTAAAACTTTGTTGTCTGCGAGAGTGTTTATCTTCCCGCTTTCTACAAGGTGTATTGGCTTACATGTAGATCTCTCCTCTTTGAAAAAAGATATTAATGCTAAAGGAATACTGGTCGCTCCTGTAACAGTAGGTAAACTAGGTTAGGGTGCAGTGATGTAATACAGAAAAAGAGAGAATTTTTTTTATTATAAAGCACCCGTGTGGGCGTTAAGTCCCTTTGGGTCCTTGATCTACTGTATATCAAAAGGGGAAAGCTTTTAACAGGAGCCAGAAAGTTAGAAAAAAAGGCAAAGCTTAAAGTGTTTAGTTTGGTAAAGGCGTGAACCCCACGAGAAGATGGCCCATTTCAGCAAACTCCTCCAAGCAGCTATAATTGCAGCTTGGAAATGACACTCAGTTTTTCAAATCAGTTGAAAATAAATGGTACCGTGTAACACTTTCTATCTCACAAAGTGTTCAATGTTAACGTATTTGTTTTGTTTTCTTCTCCCCAGAAGTTTGTATGAACTCTCATATCCCCTCTGCATGCAAATTTTATTAATAAGAAACAGAGAAACTTGAAACAGACGTGCAAGACAACAGGCTTAGAAAAATGAATGCACTAATGAGAAACTGGACTGTACCATTTTATCAGCGTATCATACAACGTCCATAGTTTCCTCAGTTACCGCAGTTGCCCCGTAGTGAAGAAACACTCATCAACAGATGCAAATCAGTATTCCCAATGTCATTTGCCTTTTTGCCAAGTGGCAAATATTTTCAAAATTTGGCTTTAATCCTGAGTAGTTGGTTGGAAGAAAAATTATATTTAGCAGTCCCAAAAAAAAAAAAAAAGGAAATGGCCCTAACGATAGCCTTTACAGGAAACTTGGGGTAGTGTTCAAAATTCAATTCTGCAAATAATAAACTCTCTTACTCTAAACCATCCCTTAATTATGGTCAGTCTCATCCTTTATAAGGGATAAACTCTCTGTGAGGTGGTTATACTCGAGGAGGTTGGGGAGGGGGGTAAGGGGATACTATGTGCCTCTGAAAAAAAAAAGGGAAAGGGAATGAAAGTCACCAATTTTCTTCGAATGAAATACCTCAGAATCGACCCTTTCCACTGTTAATGGTTTGTCAGTTTGCTGCTAATGACTGTTTTGTGCCCTCTTCCCCCAGGAAAAGTCCTTGTTTTCTTCCTGGAAAAAATCCTACTGACGCCCCATGGTTATATCCTGTATTAAGCAGATGCTTGCCAGATCATCTTTCCCTAATAATAAAGGTTTATATGATACTTTTGGGAGATATTCAACTCCAGAGAAGACCGCCCATACAACTAGAGCACTTTCAAATGAGAAAACTCCAACTGGAGAGCTCTGTTTTGGAAACTGTCGCTGCACGTCCATTTCACCCCTAGATGGGGCTTCAGCAGTGTTGTATTTGAGTCCGTCACAAGTCCCTGCAAGTCCATCACAAGTCATTCAGTCTTAAACCAATTCACTTGCTATTCGAATGAGCTGTGACAAAAGCATTCTTTTGTCATTGTTCACCGTGTTACTTATGACCGGCCTTGTGAGGGGACTTGTGACTAGCCTTGTGAAGGGGCTGATGATGGACTCGAATACTTTCAAGATTGGCTTCCAACCCATTTATTCTACGACCCTTTAATTGAACTGCACAGAAAAATATCCACTCAGAACTACAAAATGCAGAGATAAGGCCTTGCAGAATGTGGTGCTGCTGCTATCTGAAGGCAGGTTTTAGCAAAATAACCGACCCACATCTCTTAAGGCTTCACCCCAGACATGTGGCAGACATTTGGGGTATAAATCACTGGAGTTTAACAGACCCCTTGAAACTACTCCTAAAATTTCCCCTGCTGTCATTTAATGGCCTTCGCTGCCCCTGTTTTTGATTCAGTCACTATTTAAGCTGTGACATTTTGGCTGGGGGGTAGATTGAAAATAGGATAATCACTCACAGGCTTCCAAATAAAAATTGAAAGGGTAATATCCTTGAGGGGCTCTTTTCATCTGGAATTCTTTTTTTTTTTTCTGGAGGGCACTCTCTAAAACTGTAACTGCTTCATACTGTCTCCCCTTTACTGATGTTGGTGAATGTGGGTCGTTTGGCGGCTGCCTGAGGCGCCCTTGTATGCCATGGGCTCAACCATGTTTAAATGTATTCATTGTTCCGAGCTTAATGTCTTCATTGTACAGCACATTTGAACATATCTATAAAATTTGCACTTATAAATAAATAAATTATTAAATTATTATTTTTCACGCAAGATGTCATTTTGCAAATGCCTGGTTTGCCACTTTTAACTGCACCTTTGTTTTTTATACCCTCTGAAGTACAATGGTCCAGCCTTGTTGTTAAGTTTCAGGAAAGAAAGTTCGGGAACTGTTTTTGATCTGACTTTTTGCTAACTCCTGCTGCTAATCAGCTTGGACTAAGGAGCTTTCAAGAAGTAGATTTTCTTGGCTTTTTTGTAGTCTCACGTCAAAGCAATGTAATGTTCGGCCAGGATGGCTTGGAATAAAGTTTGCACTCTACTGTTTAGGGGAGGATACATGAATATTAATCGTATATTTAATGAACTGAAGTTTCGGCTGTTGTCTTTCCAGCTTACATTACCTGTGTCTTGCTTTGATTTAGCATATCAGATGGAAATGCTCTTTGTAAAGTAGAACATCAAGTGCAAACTTTGGGTTAAGTTATCCGTTTTCTGGGAGAACTAATGTATCTTTCTAAAGGAGATTCTTCCATTTTATTTTTGGCCAAATGAGCCGTAATGAACACATTTCTTTTGCCTTTGTTCACCCCTGTTACTTGTCTATGGACCCATGAGTTTAGTAACAAGTAAATGACTTGTGTAAGACATGATTGCAAAACTGCCCTGACATATGCATGTCTGCATTTCAGGATCATCATTTTTCCATAATGTGGTTTGTTTTGCCAAATTATGCTTTTGTATTGCTTAGTATTAACTTGGCTTAAGTTGGAGGATCTTTCCGTGATGCTAGAATTTGGAAAATCCCTTGACATTCTCTTGACATTTCATGGGCTCATGTCCCTTCTTGTTTTATTCATGTAGGAGCAAGAATCCACAGAGTCAACGGCCAAGCTTTCTGAAATTCAGAAACGATCACCAGAAGACCTAGCAGTGTATGAGCACTTCTTTAGAGAACTCACAGATTATGAAGAGGTACTGTCAAAAACATTACAAAAATGTTTTGGATTGATGAGGTTTTGAGAGTATCACAAAAGGTGGACTATTTTGGGGGCAATGTTTATTCCCATTCTCACAAGCTGAGAATAACGTGTGGCGACTCTGTTTCCTTCTAGGAACGCACATAACAAAATGCATATCCTTGTGGAGAACAGGGGCCATGCTTTCTTCTTGTGTACTTCTAAAACAAGCAGGTGTGAAATACTGTTTTCAAAATGCTCCCGTTTGAACTAGCGTCACTTTCCTGGGTTGAAATTTCAAAAGAATGTGCCTTAAATAAAGTTCTTTAATTTGCTACTGATAATGTCACATTGAAAAATCCTCCTTTTTTGGATTAATTCCTGATTATCTATTCCAGGAAATCCTTGTGGAGGTCTTTACATCTTTAGAAGTGCTTTGTAGAGACCTTTTCAACCTTTTGTCCTGGCTTGTCCACAAGACACCATATTTGAGCACACTGAGTGGCAACTGTGTGCATACATGAGAGCATATTGTCAAAGGGCCCGTGTCTGTTGGCAATATTACAACATATTAGGGAGCAGTTTGGTAACCCAATTATTTGTCAGCAGGTCAAGACAATTCGCAAGCCATTCCCTCCCCCCCCCCGAATCAAGTCAAGTCGTGACTAGACTTTCCCAACTCTAGTCCTTTAAATTCCCACGTTTTTTCTTAAGCCTCTCTGACATAATAGTTGACATGACACTTGTTCACTTTTCTGCCGTCCTTTATTGATACGATGACCCGTGATGTTTCACAAAAATGGTGTGACCTGTCTGCCTCATTTTTTCATTGTAATGTGCTAATATTTCCAATACTAAAAAGGTCAGTATCATAAAAACAGACAGGACTGCTTTTGCGCATAGAGAGTCATAGATACATTTTTCTTGTAACTTTTTCAACACAAGTTGGCGATGTCAACAAGTCAACTTTGTTCAACTCAGGTCCCAAGTCATCTTCTCCCTAGTCAAGTCCAATCAAATTACAAAGGATTTTTTTCTACTGCTAAGTCTCAAGTCAAAAAGTTCTGATTTGAGTCTGACTCAAGTCCTTGTCAGATATCCAAGTCAACAGTATATTTTTAATATCTATGAAACAAGAGTTTTGCCTTACATTATTATCGTGACCAGAACCAAAGGTCATGGTTGCATATTGTCCAAATGCTTTGAACCAACAACTGAAAACAGTTATTGGTTCATTTCATCTACTGGAACTTGGCCCAGCATTCCCGTCGGGAGTTTCTTCACGGAGTAGAAACATTCCGAGTTTGGACAGATTGCAAGCAAATTATTGCTTGATGTCTTCAAGTTGAAACCACGATGTGTAATGTGATATCTAAAAAGTGTCTCTCTTTGAAACCCCAAACCAGTTTTTACAGGAAGAGAGTGACTCAGACCTGGAGACAGGAGATTGTCAGCCCATCGTCATCCCAACTGCTGGAACTTCCTCTTCCACATCTAATACCCAACCTCACCGGACACATTCCACCTCCCTCCTCGCAAGCCGTCCCCAACGTGACAAGCAACTGCGGGAGAACCGCCTGAGCTTGCCCAACCTGTCACGCATGGGTAGCCTGGTCAACAGCAGCTCCGGCCAGCCTGCTGACGAGGCCCAGCCAATCCAGACCCTCGCCATCAATGTCAGTGGGATGAGACTCGATCCGTCTATCCTTGACAGTCAACCGGATCCCAAGCACCTCAGGACCACGGGTAAATCGGTTGCTGCAGACAGCAGCAGCAACGGCATTGACATGACGATTAAAGGTGGACGGGCCTCGTTTACAGTTGGCAACCCCAATCGCTCTCCCAAGCAGGCCGCCTCATCCTCCAACAGGCACAACCTACGCTCCCCGCCGAAGCTACGCAAACTCTCCAGGTCCTTGTCAAGCCTGAAGAATTCAACCTCTGACCAGGCCTCCCGTCCTGGCTCCAAGCAGAGCAGCAAGTGGAAGTTGGACCCAGAACTGGAGGAAACCCAGCAGGATTCTCTCAGAGCGTCTATGACCATATCTCGCATGACGCTCCGATCGCCAGAACCGCAGCTGCAGCACAGCGTCTCGCCGGAATCCGATTCAGTCAGTCTGGACGACTACAGCTCAGAACTGTATGCGGATCTGATGTGCAAAACAAAGCGGGTGTTGCCATTCAGGAGAATTGCTCAGCCGGAGTTGCGCGGCCATAAAAGCCCAGACACTCCAGAAATGTTCCATGAGAAATCTCCAAGTGTACAGAGGTGAGTCGGCAAAGCGTAAAACAAGTGATACAGCTTGGTCAGGAACCTTGTAAATGACCTTGGAATTTACACTGGGATTGAATGAGGTCCTGTGTTAAAATGGAGTCATGTTTCATTCCACTGAACATCAGAGTCCCTGTGCTCTGTCTTTGTGCACTTCTTTGAATGGGAATTTGGTAACTCGTACCAATATCAAAATTTTGCGCCACAATCACACAATATCTGTAGCCTGATAAATTCAAAGCAAAAAAAATTTCTTAGATTCAAAAGTCAGATTACCAGATGATAGTTGAGAATAACAGTCTTCAGTGCGCCAAATTGAATAATTTTTTTCACACATTCTAAGGGGTTAAGATTAATTTAGATTTCCGAAGGTTAAATGATCTTCAAAAATACCCTAACTGTAGTTTTTTTTCTTATTTACCACTAGAGGGCGTTATTAATTGAGAAAACTCTCTTTTCATTTAAAAAACGTTTACATGTGAAGATTAATTACACACTGTAAACTGCCTTTTGCGAAGGTCATCATTCCTGTGTTGTGTTCCACAGAGCCATGATATTTGAGGACATTGACCGAGTTATCAATCCTGTTAAAGTGCTGGACAGGGTGGTCTTTGACTTGGACACTGAGATCAGGACCAGGGTCTCAGGGCCAGGGGCGACAAGTAGCACGGAGTTGACATCATCAGGGCACATCAGGTATGCAGATTCAGGAACTAATTGGGCATGGTGTGGTCAGTGTCACTTGGTGTTGACAGTCTGAAGGTTATGGCCAGTGGTTGGGGTGTGCATGTGACTGAACAGGGAGTCTGGAATCTACTCCATCATGTCCACTATTCAGCCTTGAGGTCAGGTCATACTGGGTGCTAGAGTAGATGAGAACAGGAATTAGTGATATATCCTTGCTGATAGTTGCACTTGGAAGTAAATGCACTAAGTTGAGCACATTTTCAGTTCTTTATGGCAGCATTATGATGTCAAATTTGCATAGGTTTCATGTTGAGTGTCAACCATCCTATCAGTTGTCAGTCAATCATTTTGTCAATTTTGTCAGTCTCAAAACACTTCTGTTCATCCAAGATGCTTGCTCTTCTCATGTCCTTGGGAGTTCCCTTTGACACTTGTTTAGACATGAGGTTAGCCAGCAACTTTCAGAAAGTCTCACTGAAACCATTCAAAACCTTTATTCAACTTTTAAAATTTTAAGTTTCAGATTGTAACGTGCGTGGGAAAATGAATACAAACTAACTTATGTTAAAAAAAGCACACGGCAACAAGACAGACTTCGGGGGTGCTTCCCAAATTTAGTATTGAAATCATACAAAGCAAATGAGTATTTATGAAGATATCCAAAGGCAAATTAACAAATATAGATAAATTACAATATTGGGTAACACTTATAAGTAATAAGACCAGTGCAGATGAGGGGTTGGAGGAGAGAGTATGGCTAAGGCGAAGAAACCCAAATGTAAAAGTGGCTACAAAAGTAAAGAATCCGAAAGAATGACCAACGCCCCAATGCGCGCAGCAGTCTTATATACCTGCAGAGTGCACCCAACCAAAAAGGTATCAAAAGAATTGAAAAGTGTGGGCGGTATGCCCACAGGTGGAGCTCACGTATTAACTGTTACAAGATAATGTCTGTTATCCGATAGAAGTACAAGCTGTCATCCCTCATTGTTCTGTCACTTGTCTTTTCACAGATCCTCAGATGCTCTCGCTGAGTTGCCTTTAACCTTTGACTCCCAGTTTGAATGCGGGAACCTTAGGAAGGCCATTCAGGTCCGACAGTATGAGTACGACCTGATCCTCAACTCGGATGTCAACAGCAACCACCACCACCAGTGGTTCTACTTTGAGGTGTCCAGCATGAGGTCTGATGTGCAGTACCGGTTCAACATTATCAACTGCGAGAAGACTAACAGCCAGTTTAATTATGGTCAGTCTTGTTATTTTTTTAATAGGTCTTGTTTACAAGGCGGCCATTTTGGATTGTATTCCCCGACTCCACTTTATTTGTTGAAATGCTGAAATTGGACGGAGTCTGACAATTTTGCCAAAATTACAGGTATAGCTGCACTTTGAAAAATATTTTTGTCTTGGACGATAGGGGTTACTTGACTTTTTATCCATAGTTATCGACTACCCGTCAGAGAAAAAGGATGTACATTTGTAGTTTGCCCCTGTGGTGCCATTTTCATTCCCACACGTATTGAATTTTAAGAAATTTTTACAGGGCTTTCAATTCAAGATGGCCGACTCTAGAATAAGGCCAATTGTCTAACTTTGTCATTGGGGGCATTTCAGACCTCAACTTGGTAACATTTTGGGCAAGATGAGAAATCAGATCTGTGACTGATGGCTTAGAGCAGTAAAGGTGACACATTTGCTAAGGTCAGAAAAACTGAGTTTTAATGAAAACAAAATCAGGTTACCAGTGAAACTGCCATATAGCATTGGCCCACACAGGTGCTTGGCCAATTAAGTTTGTTGGGCAAGTAATTTTGGTGGGTGAGACTTCTGCTACATGTTGCGGGGTTTCCGTGCTTATGAATTTCCCCCCGCCCCCCAACTCCAGGGATGCAGCCTGTCTTGTATTCTGTACGAGAGGCCGTGGAAGGGCGCCCTCGCTGGATGAGAACGGGCAGCGACATCTGCTACTACAAGAACAACTTTGCCCGCAGTTCCCTGGCGACGGGGGGACAGAAGGGGAAGAGTTACTATACCCTGGCCTTCACCCTAGCCTTCCAGCACACCAACGACATCTGCTACTTGGCCTACCATTATCCCTTCACGTACACCATGATGAAGGTATTGGGGATGGCGAGACATTTATTGCGAAAGAATCGGATGTTTAAAGAAACGTAACAACAAAACCTGAAATTGTTTGGGTACATGGCTGCCCATGTGTGGCATAAGAGGCACACCATCTGAATGGTGTAAACCTGTCAAGTGTTGGCATTGATGCTGGGTCAGTACGGTGAGCAGGAGCATCGTGATGATACCGTGCCTTTATCCTGGAAAAGCTAGGGGCAGGCTTACCTAATACATTTCCTCTGAAATCATTGCAGTGCATTTGTTCACAGTGCTGACTTTTCTGGAGTTTTTCCACAATGTCCTGTGATCATTTTGTCACCAGTATTTATGAAAAGTGGCCATACTGTTCTGTCAAAATGCATATTGTTTAAAAGATGAGTTAACTAAGCATGTTAACGTTTTCCCATTGACATTTGCTCAATGTACAGGCTGACATGCACGATAGTATAAACTATGAATGACCACAAGTACGAAGTCCCATGTTGGATTGCATTGAAATGTCTTCAAGTGCATGCCAAGTTTCAAAAATGAACCCGTCATGGGACAGCCAAGATCTTTTGGGGCAGAGAGGTCAAAAAACTTTCTTTTAAGATTCATCACCAACACGGGTGGTATAGATGGAACAAAGGACTTGGCCATAGGCTGCTGAGCAAGGACTTTACCTGAACATGAGTCATGTGCTCAATTCTTTCCAAGAGCCTGGAAGAAACTGTTCATAGGTTTGTAACCCATAATCCTGCACTTACATGGATTTGTTTTTTTTATATAGGCATTACATCAGTGCATTCAACTTCCATAAAATGTCAACTTGCTGTACAGTTAACGACTAATAGCTGAAATTGCCACACTAGTCTAAATGTCTACTTCATCTCCCAATTTTTTTTTCAAATCTAGTATTGGAGGAACAAACATAGCTGGTAGGGTTTCTTTGAAGGCCAAGTCAGAGTTACATTGCCCAGGGTACCTCCTTGTACTCCATTTGTTTTAGGTACACCTAATGAAGCTTGAAGCCAGCCTGAGTGAATGGAGCAGTATCTACTACCGCAATCAAACTCTGTGTGAGACGCTGGGCGGCAACGCATGCCCGCTGTTGACAATAACCAGCAACCCTTCAGCCCTAGATAGGGAAGGAGTGATGCAGTTCAGTAAGTAATGAGACCAATGAAACATATTTAAAGTTGGCACTTTCAGAAGAGTTGTACTAGAGTTTACCTGATGGTACTTGCCCCTTTCTGCCTCATGAAAGAGTTCATGAAATGCATTTTACTCCCTTGAAACATACTTCTATTCTATTTTAAACAAATATCTATTCATCTAAATCCCATAAATGTAATGATCCACCCATTTTGAATGTATAACTTTTTTAATTTGCACCCTTTGGGCAATTTTCATGCTGTTTCCTGACAATAGAGGGTGCTGCGGTTTTCATGATGTCACAGTGGGTACACATTTTGTTGTTTACAGAAACGGTTGTATACTGAGTAGTCCTGTTACCATCAACAAAGAAATATGAAAACATCATGACCAACATTTCCCACTTGTGTCTCATATGCTTAAAAAATTATATCATTTGATCTGTGAGATCACAAGATTTTTGTTTGATGTGTTAATCGTATTTATTGCCTTGTCTCTGTAATTTGCAGTTGTGGAAGATTGTTTCGAAAAACAGACAGTAAAGTCAGATTTCCAACTGAATTAACCGATACCACAATGCAATCATGTGATTGTACTAGTCGACCAATCACACCCAACGTACACATCTCACAAGGCTCCATTGTTTCCTCAGGATGCCGGCCCTACATTGTGTTATCCTCCCGCGTCCATCCTGGGAGAGTAACAGCTCCTGGGTAATGAAGGGCGTCTTGAAGTACCTGTTGAGCTGTCACCCTACTGCCCAGCTACTCCGAGACAGCTACATCTTCAAGATAGTCCCCATGCTGAACCCAGACGGTGTCATCAATGGCAGGTGAGGCTGTACCACAGCCCATTGCAGAAAGCCACAGACTAAGGGAGAGGTCAATCCATTAACCCTGTTGGCCCTTTCCTCCAACTGCCGCCAGTAATGTGCACCTTGGTGGGGTGACCCCTGCCTCCATACTCCAAACTCCTGTGGCTAGTCCCGTCGATATCCTGGTGCAGTGTAAATGATTTCGAGTACGGTGTAATTGACTCCCAGATTTAGCATAGACTACACAAAGTCCAGTCCAAGACCTTGACACGATGCATTCTTCAAAATGGGAGACACATTCTTGCTGCACAGCCTCAGTCTTTATAAACCACTTGGAGGATCGAGGACGGTTAATGCTGAGTCCCACCCACTGTCCAAACGTGGACACCGTTTGCGCGTATTTCAGCCATTCCTCAGTTCATGCACCTGTAAGGTCTGTCTTACATGAGTACACAGGTATTGGACTTTAATGAGACATTTGGTCACACAAACATGGCTGTGACTGGTTGATGCATTATAGGTGTTGGGTTTAAAAGATTCATTAATAAAACCGAAACAGAATAGGCCTTTTTTGTGGAGCTGGTAGGTATAGTTGATTACTTAGAATAGAAGATATACGTGGCAAGAAGGCCATTTAGTGTTTGAGAATGGTTTCCAACTGACTCATAGGTAACACGCAAATGTGACTCACCATTGCAAAACCAGGGTGAAGGCATCTTGGCTGTTACTGGGGAAGTGAAATCAGCATGCACATAGAAAACACAATTCCACAACATCCGCCGCTTGTAACTACCAAAGCCTTCTAGAGACAACATTTGCACTGTGGATCACTTTGGGATGAAAATTAACAATGGGGAGAGAAATTGTCAAATATCCAAATTCCAGCTTGGTTTTTGAATGGTGGGTCATACAGAATCTAGTCATCTTAATAAGATACCATTACTGTGGTCGCACCATGCGTCCTTGGAGGTGATAGCCTTGGCGTTATGACTTGCCGTTCTTTAACCTCATGTGAGTGTGGTCTTAGCACAGTAACACTGTCTTGCTAGATTCTTTCTTTGGTGTTTCAGCCATCGATGTTCACTGACTGGAGAAGACCTGAACCGTCGTTGGGATAACCCTAATCCTGACCTCCATCCCACCATATACCATGCCAAAGGTCTCCTACAATACCTGGCCATGTGCAGTAGAAACCCTCTGGTTAGTCGTGACCATTCTTAAAAACACTGTCCCCTCTGAAGTTCAGCTTTTAAAATCAAACCACAAACCAGTTCACTTGAAACCTGCATGAACAATTTGGACAAATGAATTACGTGATAATCTCTGTCAGAGAACATTTAAATCATATTTGATTTTGAGCCCGAACGGCATTGAAATAATTAGTGTGTGACTTGGGAGTTTTGATGACTCTGCAAAGATACGTTGTTGGATGCCGTAATTTGAACTTGGTGTGGAGTTGGTTTTTTCATTGATAGAGAGACATAATCACTGATGAAGGTGCATTTTCAGTTTTCTAACACCCATGCTTTGATATGACTAGACGAAAAGCTCAGTGTATTAAAAGTATTTTTGTATCAACAGAAATTTTATTCTAAATTGTATTGAAAGAGGTTTTGTAGGATCATGCTAATTTGTGTCAATTAGAGTTCCCCATTGGTGAAACTTTGGCATGTGTTTGAAATCAGCTGAAATGTCAAAATTTTTGACTTACTACTGCTGACAGGTGTATTGTGACTTCCATGGGCACTCCCGACGGAAAAACGTCTTCATGTACGGCTGTAGCGAGGCCCAGTCACAACTGACTGATGACATCACTAACGGCAATAAACAGGAGGATACCAGCTACAAGGTACACGACGGAACACATTGTTTTCCATGTTTATTTTGCTGAAGTCAAACGAACTGTTCTTCTGATCATCAGTTTGCAATATTCTCCCATTGGTCTCGCAGGAGCTTCCTTAGTTAACGGTCATCACTTTCTTGGATTCATCTATAAAGTCTGTGCTTGGTGGTTGATGAAATAACTCAGGAATGAAGACTGATTGTTGTAAAGTTTCAGGGCTGTGGTCCAGTCCAACACAAGTCCCTTCAAGGGCCCTGCAAGGTCCATCATGAGCCATCCAGTTTAGGGCTAAGTGAAGCTTGAAATGAATTTAATAAACTGTGACCTAAGCATTCCATTGTCGTTCTTTACTGGACTTGTGACTTGGCCTGAGAAAAGATTTGTGACTGAAATTGCGAGGGACTTTGCTACAATCCCGATCTGTGCTCTGTAACATGCCGTCTTTTTCAGGAATGTTGTGGTTTTTGTGAGCAGACCCCGGCCGTCTTCTTGCCAATTCTTACACCAGCCTGTTCTTTGTTGCAGACCCTCCCTCGAATCTTGAACCAGTCGGCCCCAGCTTTCTCTCTGAACTCCTGCAGCTTTGTGGTGGAGAAGGCCAAGGAGGCTACTGCGAGGGTGGTAGTGTGGAAAGAACTGAAAGTCCCTCGCAGCTACACCATGGAGAGCACGTATTGCGGATGTGATCAGGGACAATACAAGGTGGGTGTGTGGGTGTGTGGATTATGCCCGACCCCCTATCGTTATACTGCATAGAGAGTTTGTACTGCAGATGTGACCCCAGGACTATGCTCTGTCCCCAGTATACCATGGAGTGTAGCACTGCTAACATGACCAGGGCAGTTCAGTGTGGGTGTGACCAGAGAGTGTACAGGGCACTGATCTCTATATACTGACTGGGTAGCACATCAAGGGCTGGATGCTTCTAGGCACCATCTTCAAAGGCCTAAATTATGTATTGGAGGCAGGCTGCGAGACTTCAAATCTTAGTCACAATTGAGCTTTTTAATCATTTTCACAGGCTAACTCATGTAGACCATTATTTGTATTTTTACACGTAGAGTGTCTACGTAAAATATCCTATATCTTTAACCCATAATTTACTTAGCTTTCACTCGATACTTCTCAAAAATCTTGAAAATTACAAAAGTGTAGGCGACCAAGGCTGCACCAAACAGGTGGTTGCCATCTGTGGAGATCCAACAAAATTGCTACACTGATGTGTGTGTCATTTGTTCATGAACAGGGATGGGCGTGTGAGCTAACCAGTCTTTGTATAGACATCACTGGTACATGATGTCAGCATTGAAGGTCCCCTACTACTGGAACACCGTGGAAAGTGTTCTGTAGCGAGGTCATTTCCTCCCCCTTTGCAAGACATAATTCCTGCCCACTCTCCTGCTACATCACAGAGTTTATTTTTTTCCTGTAACCGCTTACATCTCTCTCCTACCAGGGATTTCAAATCACCACAGCTATGCTGGAGGAGATGGGCAGGAAATTCTGTGACGGGCTCCTGCGTCTCATAACGCGGCGGTCTGCCGACAAGTCCATGTCTGACAGGACACCATCTCAAACGTCCCTGTCTTCAGCCAAGATCTACCCGGGGTCACTGAATTCAGTGATTGCCAAGGACCAAGATGATTATGGAAGGTAAAGTTCCTTATTTTGCCAAATCGTGTTTAACAGGCACCAACCTTTAGGTGTAAGCTACAGTGTTCATGGGAAAAGGTACTGTAAGGTTAAAACCCAGTCAAAGGTTTGTGACCCGATATGTCCACAAGCAACGGACTTTACTGCAATTGCCTTCTACACCTGGGAGTAAATGATTGCGACCGGAGAAGGAGTCATGTAGGATTAGCACTGTCACTTGCCAGTGTGCACACAGAGATTCTAGAACATACACCATTTGATATCCTGTCCAATGCTGTCCATTTTCAATCCGTGGTAAATTTCTCATTCCTGCAACTGTTTGCTTTTTGAAGTCCCGGAGAGGATGTTGATGCTTTGATACAGGCCTCTGTCCAAGGCCTGTCCACCGACCATCAGCGCCCCAGGCGGAAACGCCGAAGCAATGATATGGACTCGGCCGAGGAGGAGGAAGAGGGAGAGGACGGCTCGGAGGAAAGCGAAAGCGGGGTGTTTGGAAAGAACAGTGACGATGAGGCTGAAGACATGTCACCAGAAACTGCCGGGATAGATTAGTGGAAACAAGTCATTTCTTAAACTTGAATGGAATTTGATGAATTGTCTTTGAATGCACTGTTTGTGCTACTCTAAATTCTCCTATCAAAACTATTTGACATGATTTCGGAGTTAAGTGCATCAAAATATAGTACCTTTGGTAACATTTCATGTTGCCCATGCATTCCTGGACAACTGTTAGTGAGGTGTCATCCAGGGAAGACACTGGTCAGTTTGTATAGGTTTCTGTTCGATTTTAAACCCAAATTTGCTCAGTAAAACATTTCTGAGAAAGGGTTGCTCATTGGCTCATTGCATTTACACAACAATGACTTTACCAAAGAACAGGAATACCGAGGACAGCAGAATACCAAAAGTCCCAGCAGTTTTTGAGTGTGTGTGCACAAATCAATGCAACATTGAAGTTTTCTCCCTGAATGACATCACTGTCATGACTATGTAAATTGGCATTAGCATATTAACCAAAACAGCACCAAAAATACTATTTGAAATACCAGAACAAAAATTGAAAGTAAAGTTTACTGAAACAAAAAGGTTCATTTTCAAGGTTTTTCAATTGATTGGGTAGTCTCAGGGTCTAGTTACACCTGTTTGGGCGTATGTCTGTTTCGCACAGAAACAAATCCAAGCAATAAGTACACCAAAGAATATGGGGACTTTAGAAGCAGCGTTTGCTGAAAATAGTCACCCTGTGGAAATTTAAGTGTGTGCGTTTACTAAGGGAATAAATATGTGCTTGGCCTGCGTTTAAGACCAGCTCAGGAGAATGGACGCGACTACTGCCCAAGCGGCAGGCGAGGGCATTATCAGCGTTCTGTCTCCTGAGCCAAGCATGTTTATTCCCATTCATAAATACCTTTTTAAGTCAGAGAGTCAAAAGAAGTCAATATTTGATGGATTTCCAGTGATTTTGTTCTAGAATTTTACTTTCATTTTCCTGAACACCCCGATCCACTTTATGGCATATTCTTTGTGCAAGTTGTCCAACAGAATCTCCTTATATGGACTTGGGGCCCATGTGGCGAGCTGCATGCACACAGACTCTCGACCAATCAGAATCAATTAAATTGTCTTGTATCCAGGTGCCATTGCGTGATTCACGCAGCGGGCATCATCACTTCTCAGCAGGCATTATCAAATGTTAATTCACAGTCGAGTTGCTCGTTGTTGAACAGGGAGACTGTCTGAGGTATTTATGAATTTACCATAGAGGACAGACACACAGAGTACAAAAGATTTGTCCTGTTCTCGGAGGTCAATCCTTTGTTCAGTCCTGTCGGCGGTGGCAAGTGTACATTTGCAGTCTATGAGAAAGTATTGACGGAGCAATGATAAACATTTCCTGTCCTTGTCATTGGTACAGTGACACACAACTGTGCACATACAGGTGTTGGTATGTCATTGTCATCAGGCATGGTCAAAACTTGTGCTGTGTTTCCAGGTGTCTTTACCACCGTAAACATCTGCTAATTGTTAAGCAACATTGTGAAGTATAGACTAATCCGATTAGACGCCATGACTGCGGTGGCACCGCAATCACACGCACAATCTTCAGCTTGACGCGCTTGTGCATTTGACAAATCACGACACCCTATTGGTCGAAGAGGCATGTAACGTGCGCGTACCACCTGTCCACGAGCCTTGTACCACGGCAGTTATCGCTTCTAATTCTGGTGGTCGAATTACACTATAGCTTTGATGTGCATTTGCATGGTAGCTACTCAGAATTCTTACCATTTAGTTTCTGTAACACCCAATCCACTCCTGTAACTTGGTACCGTAAGTTAAAGCTGGCTGGATTTTGGTGGGGTAGCTATATCATGGTAGCTTTTGTCTGCATAAATGCAGTCCATATGCGTAATGAAGTACAGACAGTAATGTGCAATTGCATACAGAGAACAGTATTACAAGAAAGGTTGTGAGATTTTAGGAATGAACATTTAGTTATCCATTTATCTGCCTCGAGTAGAAGCACCCACTCATTAGTTGAAAAGAGCCATGTTTGAGGGGAGTTTTCATTTTGTTGGTAGCAATGTGGCCGTATAACATGAATTTCGTAGTCGTTTGTGAACCAGCAAAGTGCAGTTCCCACCAGAGGAGCTTCTGTTGCCAGGACACACTCTAAACCACAGGGTTCTTTCCTAAAGGTCACCATTAGGTGGTTGTCGTGGCAACGTAGGCATCCTGTGCTAAACATGTGAGCTCAGACTCCACTCCATGGTTACGAGATGTACTCACTCAAAACAGAGCTTCTGAGAGATGTGCCAAACTGTTAGCCAACAGTTTTCTGCCACAGTTTGCAAGATATAACACTGTGAATGCTGCAGGGCCACAAAATTTGGCCCTGGATATGGCAAGAAATAAGAGCTTTAATTCTCCAAGGTCGTCGTTACTCGCTGTTCGCTGTTTGTTACAAGCCGAAGAATATACACAGCGCCAGATTTGAGACAAGTTAGCAGTACTATTGTCAGTCCATCAAAAGTCCCGTCACAAATCTAGTGTCCTGGCCTAAGGCTGTAATTATGACACTCGATGACTTGCTGATGATGGACTCAACTGCAAGACTGAGTCAGAAAGATTTTTAATCGAAGGAAGGATGGGTATGTGTATGTTTGTTGGGGAGGTGACTGATGAGAATACAAACAGGTGTTAAAAAACCCCTGGATACATCCCTAATGAAGTTGAGAGCAGCCAGTGTTAAATTTTGTAGCCTAGGAAAGCTCAATGTAACAGGATCACGATATCTTAATTTGTCGGTTACTACCGTGTGGAGTTCAAGCAGACGGTATTGCCTGTCGTGCAAAAGTAAGCTGAGGTCCAGTCATCGATAATAACCATCACGATGTTCTCTGACTGGTAAATGATTTCGCTAGAGAAATTTTAGTACTGAAAAGAGTTCAGTGAAAGAAGGCTGTGCTTTGTCAGTTGGTCAATGTGGTGTTTTACCGCTCAGTTCAGATTGAGAATCAGCCAAATTTCAGTTTCAAGGGGTAAGAGAAATTCATTTCTTTCCCCTCTGTGTGATCTGCGTCCTTGACAAAAACGCTTAGACCCCCCCACCAAAAAAGCAAATCGAACTTCCCATTTGTAGGTAAAGGTAGATTTTGATCTTGAAAGCTTTTTCTCCTAATTCTTTTCCATGGAATTCGTGGAATCTTTGATTCTTGATGTCAACTTGCCTTGGAGCGTCCAGACAAAGACAGGAAATTACAGATAAGAAAGCGCGACCCTAACGCTAACGACGCGTGACACGCGATAATCAGAGAGAGAGGGGGAAGATCTTCGCTCGTCTCCGGCCCAGCTCGCTCTCAAATCAGATTACAACGGAAACCCAGGGCGGATCTGGGACGGTATCTGGAAAGGAAAAATCCTCTGCCAATTGACAATCAGGAAATCGGGGCATCCGTTCTCCTAAATGACTTGATCGGGATAAGCATGCTAGATATTGGGACCGAGTTTGCAAAATGTTGGGAATGTTTGAGAACATTTGAAAAGAGATCTCTTGAAATCTTGTGTTGGACTTGTGTGTGTTTTTTAATCAGAAATTTGATTAATGGTTGTGCGCGCGGAAAGCTGTCGCCCAGCAAATTTAACATGCTAAGCAAGAATAAGCTGGTAACCAGTCACAAACAACGTTTATACTACGCAACATTTTCCCCTGGTAACCTTTTTTTCAGCCCAACCGATCTACTCTTAGCAAGTATAAAAACAGCTGCATAAAATTGGCCTCAGTCGTTACAGTTTTCCTTCTATGTCTAAAGTCTTGAAATATCAATAAGTGCCCTTCGATCACTAAACATTCCATTAAAAAAGTTCTGAAAAGTTCTCTCACTGGCAACTTTTGTATTGGCAAAGGAACACCGTCCAAGTATTAGGCCTATCGAGCAATGTTTATATGATAGATTCACTCTTAAAATACCGCAGACCAGGGTAATTAGTTTTAACTTACGCAAGTATTGCAGTTTTTCATCTGAAATCAGTACGGTAGGGGAAAAAGTGTAAATATCATATTGTAGACACGTAACCAGCCAATATACCAGTACATCTTTGTTTTTTGAGGTCAAGCAAAGAAGTGTTGTAATGACAGAAGTCTTACGTGGCTGCCATTGTCGTCAGCTGTACAGAGTATCATCAAGAAATCAAATTGGTCGATGTTAGTTGGTTGATTCAGATTAGATTCGGCGTGAGTTTCTTGTGCTTTTCAAATAGTCAACTATGAAATGAAAAATATGCGATTTATTTAATAAAAGTAGCTAGATCGGATTTATTTTAAATATCCATACATACAAATTTGAGTTGACATAAAGTTTCAAACTTGCAAATCTAAGAGAACACAAACCAGTATAGAAAATTCACACTCCCGACAAAATGATAACTTCGAAGAGTGAGACTGGATGTTCAAGAGGTGTTAAATAAAAAGAAAATTAAAGAAGATTTTTAACACGGCTGGCTTCCGGTTCCATTTTATATTTAACACGGCTGGCTTCCGGTTCCATTTTAAATAGTGGGACATGAATTCCAATGGTAAGTTTATGTAAAAATAGTTGAAATAAGAAAAACTGTTGTTTTTATTTGGAAGGTTTAGTTTTTCGAAACGGGTTAATTGTAAAAAGAAATCGAATCACTGCTTGGTCTGTAAAGTTGATGGCATTATCACAAGGTGTTTAAAACGTGATTATCGGATTTTATGTACAGCGAAAGACATTCTAGCAAGCATATTCAGTGTGTCACTATGAATTGGAAAGCTGTTTTTTCAAATGTTTTCTTTTTGTTGTAATCATTCTATTTTAAAGGAGTTAATGGCAATAAATTACTAAATATTTTCCACATATTTAGACGTGATTTTAAGAACAGGGTTGTCTCTTATTGAAAGGACAATTTCAGTTGTGTGTATGATTTCAGTTTGGAAATAACTACGGTACTGTTGTGAGCCAGCCCAGTAATGACAATGTATTGCCGGCCGCCTTTGCATTACATGTACAGTGAGATAGTGTGCGCCTTCTCTAATGCTTTGATTGTTGTTACAAGTTGAGAGAACCCGCGAAGTCACACTCAGAGGTGTGAAAATTCAGCTTTTTAGCCGATTTCTTTTATATTTTGGTTTAGATGTTGACCATGGATTTCAGTTTTTTTGTGTTCCTGCTGTGTACAAACGTATGGGGACGTCTTACATTTCAGCTTTTTGCTACCTGTTTCAGTTTTAATTTTAAGTGGCCAATCACACCCCTGGACACTACTCCACCAGCTGGTTACCCGTTTATTTTAAGTAACATTGTCTGCGCTAGCAATGTAAACCAGGATGCAGTTTGTAGATGAGCTAAGGTCCCTCCTGGATGGGGGAAGTTTCGCTGGGCGAGGCAGGGTTTCTTTAAAGTTTTAGCGGAGGAGGGGGTGTGCACCGTATCCCGGTGTTGAGTCGATTGGAGGTAAACTGTGATTGCTTTTAACGATTGTCCATTTTCTCACCCTTAAAAACCTTCCCATACCGTTTCTAAAATGATGGCGTTTTCATTTCCTATTTTTTAAGAAAAAGACAATCTGTCCCGGGGGGGGGGTGGAAAGTCTTGTCTCCCAATAGCTGGACACGCCACTAGAGGGGGACATGCATGGGCGTCGCCAGACCATTTTGAAGGGGGAGATGTATTATGAAATTTGCCAACGAACCGTCACGCAAAACGAGTGTACTGTAGTTTGATTCCCTAGTCCGACACCTACTTGAAGTTTTTTACTTTTGTTGAGAGACCATGATTTTTGCCGACAAAACTAACCAGTGGGGGGG